CCGGGGCGCGGCTATGGCGGCGGCGAAACCCGGGGGAGGCACCGGCACCGGCACCAACCTGCTCTTCTCCTCCTCCGCCACCGAGTTCAGCTTCAACGTGCCCTTCATCCCCGTCAGCCAAGCTCCGGCCGCGCCGCCCGGCCCAGCGCTGCTGCCCGCCGGTACGGAGGGAGGGAGACAGGGAGGGAGGGCAACCAGGAGCTCAGGGCATGTGCGGGCTCCCGCCGGGAAGGGCCGGGGTCCCCGGCCAGGAGAGCTCCCGGAGCCGAGCCGGGACTCCAAGGGAGGCTGCGGGCCTTGGGGCCTCGCTTCGTGTGGGCTCGACCCGGCGCTGGGGCTCCCCGAGCCGGTTGTCCCTGGAGAGACGCTGCTCGGGATGACATTTTCTGCTTTCCTAAATTTTTTCTTCTAAAGAATTTCTCTGCTAAAGAGTTCTTCTACTAAATTTCTTCTACTTCCTCCTCCCTAATGCTTGTGCATGTGGTTTTTAGTTTTTAGCACTGTGTCTAAGGACGGGCGCTGATCTTAGCACTTCTAGCTCACCGACGCGTCAGTGCTTCCATTCAGTGTATACTTAATATTTTCGTATTTTCAAACGTTTTTTCCCTCTCTCGTATTATCTTCTGTTTTCCCGGTTTGAAAATACCCCATTAAGCAGCCACCTTAAATATCCTTGCTAATTTAAGCCTGGTTCTAATATCCTTTTCTCCTAAAGCTTTAATGCTGTTCCCAACACACGCGTGTGCAACTTAAAATCTGATGCTCAGGCAGTTTCAGATAAAGATTTTTCTGGGAATGTGTTCAGTCAGAGATTAAACCTTGAAACATTAGAAATACATCTAGAAACCAGATATTTCAAATTTTATTGTACTGTACATGTTGCGGTTGGACTAATGACCTTTGAAGGTCCCTTTTAACCTAAACTATTCTATGCTGAGTCTTCAAAGCTTCATTTCAACACTGTTGTATCTTAGCTACCTTAGCTAAAATAAGTATTAATACAGCTGGAAACCAGTGCAGTGCTTCTCTTTAGATTTAATAAAATGTTTGCCAAGTATGATTTTGGAATTTTTAGAGCAACTACATTTTTTGGATAGGAGGGATAAAAAGATTAAAATATTACTCCTGCTTATTTGAGTAAATTAGATCATAAAGAAATAAATCAAATACAGATTACATTGTTCAAACTTCCTAGGTTTTCATTCATACAAATATACATTAATTTTTCTTTAAGAAAATAAAGTAATTTTTAACTGATCTAGCTAGTAGCTTTACACAAATGACTGTTCTGGCAATTTCCTGAATGTTTTGAAGCCAGCTAGGGATAAAAATCTGTTGGGATTTGATTAATGTGATAAATCTTATGCTTTCTGTGTGACTTACAGTTTAGTTGGGTGAGGATTCATGGTTTTGCAGCTGGAGTGAATTTCAGTGTCAGAGGCTGTGGCACATTCTATGTTAGTCCAAGTAAGGCCCATGTCCTGTTAAATGTTCTGTTCCCACAGTCAAGTGTACTCACCATCTGTCCAGCCAGGTGCTGTTGGGATCTTCTTGAGCTTTGCAGTTTGACAATAAGATGCATTTTCTGGCTCAGGTGTGGGTGATGTAACCAATATATTTACTGTAGGTAGGGAGGAGCATTCCCAGAGAGGACGTGAACTGAAATCACTTGTGGTTGTCTGGTGACAGCCAGTGTGTAGGGAGGGATGTACAGGAGGTTGACACAGTCATGGGTGAAGAAAGACTTGTCTGTGCATGGGGAGAACACACGTCAAAGCTCTACACTCATTTTTTTACATTTGTGTGATGTGCTTATTTTAACAACATGGTTTTTGCAAAATTAGCAAAAGTCAAGATAAATGCTAACATTTTGTTTTGGGAAACTGCATGTACATACATATATACCTATAGTTTTTTATTTTGGCAGAACTTTTGTCACCCTCATTTCGCAAGAAAAGCTGCACTTAGGCTAAATCTCCAAAGCCTATTTGAAACTGGAGAATAAAACTGGTGTTTTGTGAACATTCATTTGCTAAAGGCCCTGAGAACTCTTGAGCACACTGCTGCATGTTTATGGGGGCCTGAGACGGTGAGGTGAAGGACTTGTTCTGCTGCCAATTGTTTGGGAAAGCTGAGAGTTGACAGTGTTGTTTGCAGTGTGCTTCCCACACTGTTTATGAAATGTGGATTTTATTGTTTAGAACCTGAGACCTTTTATTTATTATAAATGGCTACTGCTTGCTGCTGGGAGGTGATCCCCAGGCCTGACTTCAGAGTGGTCATTGGGTCTTGCATCCTCCACACCGTGGGTCACACACAGAGATTTTGGCTTTGTTCATCAAAGTGAGATCAAGGGTTGTAAGTGAAAGCAATAGGAATTGATAAATGCAGGTGATGCCTCACATTGACAGCATCTGCACAGACTAAAAGATGGTTAAAATAGTTCTTTTTTAATCTTGGCAGCTCTGTCTTTTATGATTAATTAATTAGAATAGCAGCTTCCTAGGGAGGCTTCTCTGTGGATTCCCCTGTACTCCCTTGATGCTCCCTATTACAGTTGTGTTGGCTGTGGATAAAGGCATTTGTTGTTGGTTGCTCTCAGCTGCAGACACTCTTGGTCTCTCTGCCTGGGGACTGAGCAGCAGAGATCCTCTGTAGTGTCTTCCCCACAGCCTGGGATCATTTGATTGCCAGGCAGGTGGAACACTGCTGATTCCTGCAGGTGGCACTGACTCCTTGCAGGATGCTGTTCCCTCAGCAGGCGGGCACTGCTGCTCAGACCATCGCAGCCTTAGGTGAGCTTACTGTGGGACCTACAATTGTGACAAACCTCCTTTTTATCCCACTTGCTCCTAGATCACTGCAAAGTAGAAAACTGTGATTGATCAAGACCTCTTTTATTTATTTTCTCCATGCAAAAGAGCACTCATGGCTTTGCATCTTTTTAAAGTCTCTCCTGCAATTATGCAGAATGGGGACTGATTTTTTTGAATCAGAGATGTGGCTTTTATGCAAGTCTAGAGTAGGACTTTTAGGGAGAACTGAAGTAAGTCCTGCTCATTAAATGGCTTGGGATCATGAGTTGTGGCCACCTTACAAGTCAGATGAGAAACCTTGAGGACTCTGCTGAAGGAGCAGGCAAGAATGGATGGTTTATCCTGTAAGTTTGGCCTATTTAGGAATGTTTTTAAGCTCTGTCCTAAAAAATTGGAACACAAAGTCCTATGCTTAGTAGCTGTTTTTGTTGTGAAAGGATATGAACCAAGGTTGTTATTGCATTTGGGGGATAAGTGAAGTTGAGAGGGATTTTAGTGCCTGTCACACTGCCCTGGGAAGGTCCTGACTCTAGTTGTATTTTGGTTTTTTATTTAATATTTATTGCATTTTCTGTGCACACTGAGTGACTTTCATGGTCCGTTTTAAGTGTTCTTGAAGACTTGGTATCTTTTGTTTCCTTTCATGATGTGCTGAATCAAGGATGTGTAAGCTTCATGGGGGCCAACAGTTTTGGCCATAGCTGATGGTGTTACAGAACATTTTGACCCCATACACTGATTTGGAGCTCTCACAAGATGCTTTTGTTTTTGCAGATGATTCTGCAGATGTTGGGGAAGAGGACAGCTTCTTGGGTCAGACATCAGCCAGCCCCAACCCACCACAGACTTTCAGCTACTTCTCTCAAGTTCCCAGCAGCAGTGATCCCTTTGGGAGTATTGGGCAGCCACCCTTAACAACTGTTTCAACACCTGTCGGAGCACCAGCCTTCTCCAGATCTCCCACTTCACTCCCACTCGTGTCTGGGTCACAGGATGGGCAAAATGCCTTTCCACCACATATTCCCAAATCCCAGTCTTACAGTGCACCACCCACTTCCCAGGTGGGAATGGCGCCGTACCAGCCCCCTCAGCAGAGCTGTCCCCCACCTGCCAGCACTGCCCTGCCCGCGGGGAGCCCGCAGCAGCAGGGCTACAACCCCTACAGGCACACCACCCTGAGCAGCAGGGCCAACCCCTACCTCACCCCGCCCCAGCTGCAGCAGAGCCACCCCCCTGCCACAGCGTCCCCTGTGCCACCTGTGCAGATGTACCAGACGCCCCCGGGGCCACTGACACAGGTATGTGACTCCTTCCAGCTGCCACAGCAAAGCAAGTCATTTTCCTCTTTCAGCTCTATATTTTGTCTTTTAAAGATTTTTCTTCTCTGAAAAAAAACCTAGAAGAAGTCTTGAACCATTTATAACAGCAAAAGCTTTTCACTAGAAGTAGCATGGAACTGTTGTTCCAGGAAAACTTGCTGATCTTTAAAGTGAGTGTACCCTGAGGCTGTAGCTCTGTGAGCTTCTGGGTATCAGAAGCAAAGCCAGGTTGTGAAGTTCTGTCGTTCTTTTCTGTGGGTTTCTGAGTTTGCTGAGCTTCATCTGTGTTGCTGCATTTTTTGTGCCTCAGCTTCAAATCAGGTCATTCAGCCATTTCAAAGATATGGGCTGAAATCTCTTTTCAAGCTGGTTTTGTTGGTGAAGCCAGAACTTTTTGAAACTAAGTTGTGTAAAATTATCAGCAAATTCTTTGAAACACATCAGTTGAGGATTTTGTGTGATATAAAACAACAATCTTCATCCTTTTCTACCTGCACAAAAGCATTATTAAAGTAATGCCAATGGGTTAATAAAACCTGGCACATTTGCCTTGAAAACAGCAAAAACTGTTTTTAGTTTTGCCTGAGCTATTGCTATATTTCTGTTATCATGAATAAAGAATGTGAAGGTTATATAATGACAGAACATAGCAAAGGCAGTAGAACCTAAACAGTGTGGAGTTTTAGATGATATAATTTTCTGTTTGTTGGATTTCATATATTGTACAAGATTTTGGTGCCTTTTTTTTTCCCCTTTAAATGTATCATGAACCGAGGTAATTCTGCTGACTTCAGTTGCTTTTAGTTGTACTGACTGGGATTTTTGTACAATTTCTATGCAATCAGCTTTATGAAAGCTGTAGACCATTTCAAAATCAGTTACTTTTCTTGTGCCACTGGTGCTACATTTGAGTTTGAAATCTCACTGTTCTGGTCACTTTGCAGGTCTTTAACAAGTGGCCACTTGTTAAAACTGGGAGTCTTTATGCAAAAGCATAATAATGTGTAAATGAACAATGAGAAGAATGTGTTTTTATTTTCATGTCAAATTTTGTGGCTGTAAGAAACAAATTCAGCTTGAGTTTTGAAAATTTAAGAGAATATTTGAAATCTCACTGATTTTAGGTAATCATGATGGTAAACCATGGCAGTTTTTAACAGTGTTTGTGGTATTGAAATTCACATTCTTTCTCAGTTTGAGAAGGTGTAAGTTCTCAAACACATGATAAAGTGGACAATATTTTTTGAATGAACAGTAATGTTCTTGGGGAGGAAAAAAAGTTAGAAATAAAGTTTCAGAGTATTCCCTATAGCAAAGTATAGAAGAATTCTGTAAAAGCCCTAAGACTGAGGTGCTGAATCCATCTCTTTTTCAGTTTCCACAGTCCCAGCTCCAGCCTGCCAGGCCTGCAGGGCCCCTGGTCCCAGCCCCTCCTGTGCTGCTGCAGAACCAATACGAGCCAGTTCAGCCCCACTGGTTCTACTGTAAGGAGGTGGAGGACAAGCAAATATGGATGCCATTCAGCATTCTGGATTCTGCAAAACTAGAGGAGGTCTATAATTCTGGTAAGTTCTGTCTTATCCAGAGGTGAGCAGAAGGACTAAAGGAAAATATTGGGGTAATGCCACTCATGTGTGTGGCAGCAATAAGTAAGGTTTTGAAGATGTCTTTTGTGCCACTTAATTTATTTCACTGACATCATCACTGCTTGATGTTGTTAGTGTTGAGATGTACCATCCCAAGTAGGTATCAGATTTTCATATAGAACTCCTCGTTATTTGTGTCTTAGGTCACCTTTTTGTTAAACTGCCAGTTCTGGAATAAGTATTTCTGTTTGGGAGTTTTTCCAAGCTTTTTGTTGTGTACAGGGTATAGAAGCTTTCTAGAAGCATCACAGTGTTACAAAGCTTCACTGCTGTGGTGTGATTGACAGCCATAATGGCCTAATATTGATCCCAGAAGTGGCTGGGGCTGGGCTGAGAGAGCAGAGCTGTACTGGTGTGGTAACCACGTGTGGCTGTGTGTCCCAGTCCAGCCTGACCCCGAGAGCGTGGTGCTGAGCACGGACGGCGGCCGCTACGACGTGTTCCTGTACGAGCGCGTGAGGAAAGCCGTGTACTGGGACGAGGAGCCCTCGGAAGTGAGGCGCTGCCTGTGGTTCTACAAGGGAGACAAGGACAGCCGCTTCATCCCTTACACTGAGGACTTCAGTGACAAATTGGAGGTCAGTAAGTCACAGAGATCTTGTTAGTTCGTTGTATTAATCACCTTAGAAACAGTTCTTTCTGTTTCGTGAAGATGATTTTCAGAATGCACTTCTTGGAACATAAGGAAATCCTGGAAAGAGGAGTGTCTAGAAGACCACATTACTTCTGCATCAGTCCTGCACTGCTGTGACCTACACTGCCTGTGTAGCTCTACATGTGACATTTTTATATAAAGAAAATTATATAATTTTTAGTTTTAGCATTGCATGAGGCCACAAAAGATGGAGAAGGTTGCCATGCTGATTTTGTGTAACTTGTTACTGTTTCAGGCAGAATATAAAAGGGCTGTAACTACAAACCAATGGCATCGGAGACTTGAATTTCCAAATGGGGAGACAATTGTTATGCATAATCCCAAGGTAATAGATTTTGACAATTCTGTCTCAGGATTCATTAAGGGGGAGTGAGAAAATGGATGGAAGCATAAATTGAATGTGGTCTTAATCTTGCATGAAACATATCAGTTGTTTGTTCTGGGTGTGTGTGCTGTAAAGATGATCAAGTTTACAGAACACTGAGCTTGTGCTTGCTTCAGTGTGCTGTCATGTGGTTAAAAGACAGTCCTTTCTGAAACCTAAAGAGAATAAGGGTTTGCATAGTAAATATTTTGGCTAAGCATAGCTGGCAGCAAATGGTAAGCAATTTGAATTTGTTTAACCTGAGTCTGTACCAAACAAAAGATAATTAAAATGAAGAGCTTTAATGTGGAGAAGAGCATTAATCTAACTGTTAGGTAAATAGTTTCTTTAGGGCCTCAGAAGGTTTCTGCTTATTTTCAGGCCATAAGAAAGTATAGCAAGGCAAGCTTTAAAAGTATTCTAAATACTCTGTGAATGGTGTCATGTGATTAAAACATGGACTTCAGCCTTATTGATCAATGCTGTTATCTGTTCACTTACCACAGATGCAGTAATTAATACACAGAACTCTCCAAGGGTCAGAAAGGATCGTGGTTAATCCTACTTAAAGTGTTTAATAATCCTGGTTAGGGAATTCTGTCTAATAAAAATCTAGAGAAGGAGCATTTAAACCACTTGGTGTCATAAATATGGATTTGGACTCTAAGTACTATAAACAACTGTATTACTGAATTTCTCACTTTTTAAGGTTTTTGGACTACTTTAGATGCTGTTGTCCTTGCCTGAAAAGCACTGCACTCTTTCTATTTTCTCCTTGTGATTGAGTTATTGTAAATCAGGTAGCATTCAGTTTCCTCACATTAGCAGTAATATGCTAAGGAAGAGTGGATACTGAAGACTGGGAAGGAGGAGCTTGAATAATGCTTGGCTGAGGATTTAAAATGGTTCAGGATCACTGAGCAGGCCCAGCTTCTTCACCTGGTGGTTGCTTTGAGTCACCTGTTTGCTTTTCACACTAATGAGGATTTTGTGGAAGAAAACATTTGATATTCAGATGCAAAGTAAAGCAGTCAAAAATATTTTCAACCATGCAGTGCTTTCAGACTAACAGTAAGCATCATGAGGGTTTTCCATGGTTGGAATTGGACACTGTATGTGTTGCAGGTCATAGTTCAGTTCCAGCCTTCTGCCACACCAGATGAATGGGGCACCACTCAGGATGGGCAGACAAGGCCAAGGGTAGTGAAACGTGGAATTGATGATGACCATGATGAGATTCCTGATGGTAGGTGATGAGATTCCTGGTGTACTTGGGTCTGCACTGGGAGCAGTCAGTTTAGATCTTTGCAGAAGCTGGATAGTAGTGGGTGGAGTGGCTGCGTGCTGTTCGTACCTGAAGTCTAAAGATTAAAGTTATTCCTTCATCTCAGCTTCTTGATGAGGTTATCTGGTTTTGGAGTGTTTTAATCAAAGGAGTCCTGTGGGCTCTGTTATGTCCTGAGCCATGTTATGTAATAGGCTTTATAAAACAAGAGTGTATTACACTTGCTAGACTCTAAACTTTATTCCTGCTATATACATTGGTACTCTGAATGTTTTCCTTCTTTTTTTCCTACAGGAGAAATGTCCCAAATTGACCATCTGGTATTTATGGTTCATGGCATAGGTCCTGTATGTGACTTGAGGTTTAGAAGCATTGTTGAATGTGGTAAGTTTGGGCTTGTATAATGAGCAGTTGGATTCTTGCTGTTTAAATGTGGCTCATAAATGTGGCTTTAAATGTGTCTAGCTCATATTCAGATAAGCACATCTTTTTTTTTTTTTTTTTTTTTTTTTGAAAGAGGAATCTCTAATGTTAAGAAGTTCAATTTTTCCATGGTTATTTTCCAAACACAGAATCTGTGTTCTGTCAAACTTGAAGCTTTAGCTGTTATTACTAGTACTCAATATCATACTTGCAGGGTGATTTGGGTTTTGGGATGTGTGGTGAGGGTTTTTTTTTTTGGTTGATTAGTTTTTTTGCTTTTTCTTTTTGTAGTGTGAGTGGATGTGTGTTGTGGTTTTGTGTTTTCTTTTTTTTAAAATGCATTTTGGTACAACTGAGTAAATAAAGCAAGCCCTGTCTGGTTATGGAGTGAACAGGCAGTCATTGTGAAATAAATAGAAGCTTACTAGAAAATCCACTCTAACAAAAATTTGTACTTTCTTGTTAAAATAGTAGTACTTGGAAAGATTTTTCCAATTTTCAGTTTCCATCATTTGTATTCTGACTATCTGTGAAATTAAGGGGAAGGAGGAACTATTTATGTGTTACTTGAGTACTGCAGCTATCAGGTTTTCATTATTCTTTTTTCTTCACAGTTGATGATTTTAGGACTGTTTCTCTGAAGCTGTTGCAGACTCACTTTAAGAAATGCTTGGAGGAACGCAAAGTGAGCAGGGTGGAATTCCTTCCAGTTCATTGGCACAGTTCTCTGCATGGAGATGCAACAGGTGTAGACAGGTGAGGGCTTTGTTTAATGTTGAAAACATCTTAAAAGCTGCTTTTTAACAGGTTATGGAAAGTGGAGAAAAAGAGCAGTTCATATGCTCTGTGGGCTACATGAGTAAATGTAGGACTGGATTAGAGAATTGCAGATTTTTTTAAATTTACATTTTGATGAGGAGTATTTGGAAAGCTGGAAAGGCGTGAGGAATATTCCTCCTGTTTACTTTCATGCACACACCTGTTCAGTTCTGGATTTGCATGAGTGGCCAATGCATGATACTTGATGAGTGAGTCTGTGAGTCTGTGGTCACATGGATGAGGTGGTGAGCCTGGAGATGTTTTGTCCAGTACCAGGTATGCACAATTTAGAGTGGAGAGTTTTCTATTCTTTACTTTCCTTCAGTCTGATTGAGTTTGACCCTAGGAGTTATTTCTGAGGAAGACATTAAGCCCTCTGTCCAGTCCTAGAGGAGTGCCTGAATCATGATTAGGCACTTGAGCTAAGGGGTTCTCTTTTTTTTGAAGCAAAGTATTCTATATTTGGGTAGAAGTTTCAAAATCTATTTTAAAATCCTTTCCATGTGCCTACCCCTTTGTTGTGACTTCACATTTCAAGCTGTTCCTCTTTCTCAAAGCTGGGGAAGTAAAAATTGTGAGGGTGGCAATCTGTGCCACTTAAAGGGATGCTGATGTTCTCCAGACTGTTGTAGCTCAGTCAAATCACACTGCTTTTCTCCAGCCTTGGTGCTTTATTTGTATTTGAGCACTGCATGAGGAGGGATCCTTATTCTGTTAATCAAACCAGGCAGTCTCAAGTCTATAGCAATTCCAGTGCAGCTGTCTTGACTCCAGGCAGGCAGATGGTGATGCCAAGCTTTTTCTTCAAAAAGAGAGTATTAACATTCTATGATTCTAATTTTATATGCAAGTTCCTTTTTCTCTTCCCCTTCAATCTGCTCACCAAACTTCCCTGGCACTTTATGAGAGCAGTGTTGGAATAGAAAAGAGGTTATTTCAGGCATTTCTTCAGCCTGGAGAGAGGAAAAGGAGCTGTATCTTTCTCAAATACTGCAATCAGCAGGTAGCATTAATGTGTGAATATGCAACAAGGCCAGAAGGCTGTATGGGTTTTTAAAATCTCTTTAGAGACTCTTTCTATAGCATTTACATTGCATTAATTTCAAAAGCTGACAAAGTCCTCACGAGTGTTTCCTTAAAGCCTTTCACACTTTTAACGATTCTGTGTTACCAGGAACATAAAGAAAATCACTTTGCCGAGCATCGGTCGCCTGAGGCACTTCACCAACGAAACGCTGCTCGACATCCTGTTCTACAACAGCCCCACCTACTGCCAGACCATCGTGGATAAAGTGGGCATGGAAATGAACCGCCTGTACGCGCTCTTCATGAGCCGCAACCCCGACTTCAAAGGAGGAGTCTCTGTGGCTGGGCACAGCTTAGGTGATTGTCTGAGGAATGTTGCTTTTATTCCAAATCAGTTCCTCCTTTAAGGAAAATGGCCCCTTTGTTATGCATAAAACTCTATTTGGCTCTTAGGACATGGTTGTCTTTCAGAAAACAGCTGACAAACTCCTCTTAACAACTGAGTTTAGCAGGCTTTTGAGAGAAAGTTAGTATTTCCCATCATGAAAACTTAGTGTCTAATCTGTGTTAAAAAGTTAACAGGTTATCTGGTGTCTTGTTAGATGGGTGATGTCTGTATCTCAGAACCCCCACTTAGTAAAAGCACAATCATTTTTTAGAAGATAAAATGAGTGTTAGAACAGCATCCTGACATACTGATTTGGACTGAGACTTTTCCTCCAGCTCATCAAGCACTCAGGTGTTAAAAGAAAAATATATAGAAAAAATTTATATAAATAATTTAGTCATGGGAACTAGATAAATCATGAGCAGGGAAAAAAAGGGGTTGCTTTTAGCTGAGAGTGATTATGTTTGAGGTAATATATGGCTATTTTAATTCAGCCATCTCTTTTGATCAAACTATACAGTGACATTACTTATTGCATATAAATTTGCTCAAGATTAGGGACAGGAAAACCTGATATTTTTCCTAAATCAACTCTAATTCCTGTTTGCAGGTTCTTTAATTCTATTTGACATATTGTCTAACCAGAAGGACTTGGCTTCATCAGTAAATTCTGGACCATTCTCTGGTGTTAATGGGAGTGTGAAGGACGTGGCTGTTCATGATAAACAGGTAATTTGCATGCTGGTCTTTCCAGACCAATAGATCTGATATTTTTAGTCATTTTTTCTTAGAACTGAACCAAGTTTGTGGGTTTTGAATAATACATTTAAACATGCAAATGGAAAGGTGCTGTTTTGTAAATACTGTCATTTCTCAGCACAAATTAATTAGATCTCTCAAGTTCCAAGTAGGCCAGTAATGAGATTTGATGCTGAACATCAGCTTTGACCCTTGTGAACATATAACTTGGTCTAGCAGTATCTAAGTGGTGGGGGAGGTGCATAAAAGGAAAGCAATTTGTGTTTAGACTAGAAATGGTGACCAGTTGTTTGAGAAATAAAAGGAAGCATTTTTGAGTGTTTTATCTCTCATAGTAATTTTAAGATATTTATTTCGCAGGTCTGTTTCAGTGGAAAATCTCTATCCTGCTTCACTAAAAATGGAAATATATTTACAGAGCTTGCTTGATAATGTTTTTAGGAGAAAGTAGTTAAACATGGTTTTGCTTGCTGCTTACTGGTTTTCCACTGTTAGAGGATGTGATTCTGTTTCTGTGCTGTTCTGTTGAGATGACTGAAGATACCAGTTCCTTGGGCTCCTCCATTGCTACTTCTGCTGATGACCTTTGTGAGGCTGAGGCAGAGGAAGATCTTCCTACTCTGCAGAAGACGCTGGAAATACTCAGTTTGTCAGAGTACGCCAGCACCTTTGAAAAGGAGCGGATCGACATGGAGTCTCTGGTACAAAAACATTCACTTGACTTGTAGGGGTTTCCCAGGGTATGGAGGTTTCTGTTTGGCTTTTCTTCTTCTTGTTTTGTTTTTCCTTTCAGTCCTGTGGCCATGAAAGCAGTTGCAAAGATAAGATAATCAATGTATGAAGACTGCACCTTCTGCAGCTCTTGTTTTATCTTGGTTTGATGCATCCTTGCAGTTAAGGCACTTTGTGTCATATAGTTTATTTTTTTTTTGCATTTTCTGTAGCTTTATAAATTGACTGAACAATTTCATAAGTCATTGCCAGTAAGAAATTATTCAATTCACTAGAAAAGCTACAAATACTTTTTCTTCTAGAAAAACGTTTTGATGTGTGTGTTTGGTGTTTGTTTCTTTAGCTCATGTGTACAGTTGATGACCTGAAGGAGATGGGGATACCTCTTGGACCAAGAAAGAAAATAGCTAATTTTGTAAAAGACAGAGCTGCCAAGCAGGTAAATGCATATTTCAGGACCGAAATAAAAAGTTGTTCAGCAAATGTAACTGACTTCCTTGTTGTGGAGTAGCTTCTATTCTTGAACACTCTTGTTAACATCCTGAATATATTAAAGAAATTTTGACAACTGTGAAATTAACTTTTTTTCTCCCTAACTTTAAAACTTTTCTCCAAAGGAGCAGAAAAAAGCAGTAGCAGAAAAGAAAGCTGTGCTGGCTGCCACACTCCAGACTCAAGAAGACACCCAGAAACCAAAAGAGGCAGTTTCTTCTGTGTCACCTTCAGAGTCTGGTCAGATGCACTCAAAGAGGAAGCTCCCAGTTGGTGCATCTGTGTCTTCTGTGAACATTGACTATGAGTATTTTGAAGTTGGAACTGGCCAGGTGAGACTAAGTAGATCTAAATGATTTGAACAATTTAAAGGATTTGATCAGTCCTCTCTTTTCACTATATTTTTTTTAATGTTGATGACCTTTCACTGCTTCCTTTGAAGTTCTGAGAGATGATGTGTCTGATTTCTGTCTGGTAGGTTTCTGTGGTTTACAGTGCACTGGACTTTGAACCAGATATTTTCTTTGCTCTTGGGTCCCCTATTGGTGTGTTCCTTACTGTGAGGGGTGTGGAGAAGATTGATGAAAACTACAGGCTCCCTACCTGCAAGGGATTCTTCAATATCTATCACCCAGTGAGTAGCAGTGCTTTTAAGAATTTGATTTTAGTTGATGTAGATCACAAAAAAGGCAGACTACTAAGTTTTATCTTCTGAGCATGACAGCTCTTGTTCCCCTACATGCATTTCCAGGCATGGGTTGTTTTGATAATATTTGCCTTGTTTCTTTTCAGAATTAAGGAAGTTTTTTTGGGGGGAGTTGTTTGGATTTTTTCATTGATTTGAGGCCACTCTTGTAGATTTTAATGGAATGTTTGTATTTTTACGTGCAGTGTTTGTCCTCCCTTGTCTCATTTTGTTTAACAATTCAACAGTGAAATGTTGCTAGAGATTGAGTTCAAGGAAATCTTGCTATTGTGTTTTCTCATTAGAATCTCCTTCTGTAGGAGAACAAGACCAAAGCAGTTCATGAACCTGCTTAATATGTCTTGAACTGAATTTCTGTAAATTTAAATAGTGCAGAATTCAAAAATGGTTGTCTATAAACCATAAATAGAGATTTTTTTCACTGAAAAGTGGTAATTGGAATAATTTTAAAGTAACTAAATGTCAATGTGTTGTCTCTTAACAGCTTGATCCAGTAGCTTACAGGTTAGAACCAATGATCATTGAAGACATGGATTTAAAACCAGTTCTCATTCCACATCATAAAGGCAGAAAAAGACTTCATCTGGGTAAAAAGAAAACTTTTCATATTGATCCTATTCTTATTTACTCATTTAATACATTAGAGTATTGTAAGATTTTAAGAGACTAGTGAATATCCTGGATATCTGACTTCATATTTTTCCTAAACATTAGATGTGATTCCACCCAGCCCCATAAGCTGGGCATTCACAATTTCATTCCAAAGTAATAATCATATTTCCTACAGATTTAACCTTCTCATTGACCAAAGTTCCATTAAAAAATTGGTGTACATTGATCATTGTACTTGATCACCTTCATTTCTAAGAAGCTGTGAAACAAAAACCAAATTTATTGGTGTCCCTAATGAGCACCATGACGTGTTTAACCAGAGTCTGTTATGTGTGGGAAACTGAGGGAAAAGGAGGTTCTGTAGCCATTGGAGGGCAGGGACTGATTTTGTTGCTCATGGGTATGCATCAGACCAAGGTGCTTTACTTAAATTTTGCACATCTAATAAGGAAAGTCAGTTTTGCTGCTGTGTAAGTTCATAGAGCCCTCCTGAAAGCCTCTCTTCATGAGATTCTGCAGCATCTGTCCTTGGGAATTGTCCATTAGAGTGAGTCTGCTTTGCTATACTGCACAAGATGCTTGTTTCAGGTTACAACTCTCCAAAAGTGTGTATAGTAAAGGAGAAAAATACGGTCTGTTGCTGCTTACTGTTTTCACTTTGATGTAGGTGAATTCATTGACCTGTTCAGTAAGAAGTCAGTTGTGTATTCATTGCATTTCACCTAATCTTTTTAAGTGGATAAGAGAAGCAAGAAACACACATTTATGACATAGCAGGCCTGTTTCCCTTGGTAATTGGGATATTTTTTGAACAGAACTTACATCATTTTGGTTTTAGTTGGTAATTTTAAATCCTTCTGAATTAAATTTTTTGTTTGTTATTTTTCTTTCTCAGAGCTGAAAGACTCTCTGTCTCGTATGGGATCTGATCTGAAGCAGGGCTTTATTAGCTCTTTGAAGAGTGCATGGCAGACCCTTAATGAATTTGCACGTGCTCATACATCTTCAACCCAGCTGCAAGCAGAACTGGAGAAAGTAGCTAACCAAATTAAAGAGGAGGAAGAAAAGCAGGTGGTGGAAGGTATGTGGACACATTTTTGGCTTTTCTGTAACTTATCTCAAATAAGTTGACACTTGAGTATCCCAGTGACAGTTTGCTATTGATTTTCCTGACCTTGTTAAGGAGGTCTCTGCTAAATGCCAGGTTCCCACCAAAGCTGCTCTGTCACTCTCCTCCTCAGCTGGGTGTGGAAGGGAAATTACAGTGGAAGCTTTGTGGGTTGGAGTGAGTTCAGGGAGAGATCACTCAGCAGTTACTTCCTAAGAAAACTGTTTAAAGTGTTAGGAAAGAAGTAAGCTTGTAGTTCAGTAACCTTTCTGAACCACGCTGGGCAGTTCAGGTTGTTACTGTCTTATCACAAATACTTGGAAATTACAGCAGAAAAAATGGGTAATATTTCTAAATTATAGTCAAGCAGGATGTGCTTGAAAATAGTTTAAATCTGAAACTCTTTGATTTTAGCTGAGAAGATCACTGAAAGCCCAGACCCTCCAAAAGATGAAGATGTTTCAGTGAAGGTTGGGATGCTGAATGGAGGACGTCGCATTGATTATGTTCTACAAGAGAAACCAATAGAAAGCTTCAATGAGTACCTGTTTGCTTTGCAGAGTCACCTGTGCTACTGGTAAGGGGAAATACCTGTAATTCCAGAAATACTGCTTATGGTACACAGCATGTGTGATTGTCCAGGAGTGTCAGGCTCAGGGTGTTGTGCTTGGGTGTCACTATCTGATAATCCTATCTCAAAATAAAATCCCGTGTTAACACACAGTAAACAGATTTTTTGCAATAAAGACATTGAACACTGTTCTCTACCTTTGACACTCCAGATACACATTTTTAGCTACTGTAATTTCAAAACAAGGAGAGCTCTGGAAGTATTTTCAAAACTTGTTTTTCAAATAAAACCGTTCACAACAGATTTTTATTAGACTACAGTAAGTGGTAAAACTTTATTGCTTCTTCTGGCAGAGCAAAGGATGTGTGAACTATATTTAACAGCACACCTTGTAATAGCCAACCTTGGGTGTCAGCTGTGAGCTGTCCAAAGTGATGTTGGTGAGGAAGGAGTGACTGGCCTCTCATTTTGAGTTCAGCAGGTGCTGGACAAAGAGTGCTCTACATTCTTTCTGAAGGTTTTGGTTTTCAGTAGGTAATTTTAGCAGCAGGCATGTTTTCCAGAGGTTAAAACACAGCTCTGAAGGCGTTACCTGAAGAGTCTCATTAGAGCCATCATCACTTCTCCGTGTAAGTTCAGCACCTGCCAGAGGAGAGGAGGGGTTACGGGGGCTGCTGTGAGCGCTGAGCTCTGGCAGGGTGACCTGGTGGTGGCAGTGTCGTTCCACAGCCGGGGCTGAAGGAGTGGGAATTCTTTCCACAGGGTGGCAGCCGATCACTGCCAGGATTTAAAACACTTGGTACCTGTAGCTGTTTTTGTCATTCGAGTAAGGAAGATCAGTATAGTGATTAATGACCCAAATAAGAGAGGATTTTTTCCCTAAGGAATGTTGGGAAAAGCATTAAATGAAATGCTCTGAGTGTTGGAGAGATTGGAGCTTCTGTATTGAACCTTCTGCTTACTTGTTTGCTGCTCATTTAATGAAGACACCATCAAGAAATGTTGGTGCTGAATGGTGAAAAATACATGTAGTCCCTTAGCTTGCATGTTTAATTCTGTACTGGTGTTATGCAAATTATGTTCCTCATATTTGGAGGATCACAGTTCTAACCATCCAAATCTCCTTTACTGGCTCTGTATAATGATTGATTTTAAAAAGCACAGGAAGCTGCCCTCATCTAACATCTCCTGCAGCTCTGGAACTTTGTTAAAATTTGCCTGTTTAAGATTATTTTTTTTTATGTTGGTATTGTTTATGTGTATTTTAATAGCATTTTATAGTTGAAGTAAAAAATTAAGTCTATTCATATTAACTTTAAATTCAGATAGCCCAAAGCTTTAATTTTTGAAAAGAGGAGGGAAAACAGCACATAAAAACATTGCACTTGAATGATATTAATCTTTAAATTATTTGAGAGCTAGCTAACGTTTTAATGGTAAGGAAGAGAGGAAGACTATGGGTATTTAACATAGTCTGTTTACAATTAAGGGCCTGCCAATTAGAGAAGAATTAGAATATTGCTGCTGGAACTGGGCTAATTAATGGAGTGGGACAAAACAAGTAGAATGAAGTGTGGAATATATTCAGGACAAAAAGTGATACATTATTTGAGGGGATTAAGACAAGGAAGCAATGTCAAAGTGGGTAGAGGTGGGGATTTAGAGTTGCAGCACAGGAAGTTAGGGAGGACAGGAGGAGGAAATGCACTAGAGAAAAGGTGAATGCATAGGCTGGGGTTGATAGCAGAAATAATTGAAAACTTGTGTGGATTTATAGCTTGAAAGAAGTTGGTAGAGGTAAGCTCATGTTCATGAGAAATAAATACTAGACCAAGAGGTTGTGCAAACTTTTTAGAAAGCTGAAATAGAATAGAATGTGACTTAGGAGAATTATAAGATAGATAGACCATACTGAACTAACTTTTTCCTTTTATTTTTTTTTTCTTCTTCCCTTTTTTCCTTTTGTTTAATTCATTCTTCCTAGGGGATCTGAAGACACTGCCTTGCTGTTTCTCAAAGAGATATACAGGACCATGAATATCAATCCTGAGCAGCCACAGCATTGATGTATAAAAACCTGAATTTGTAAGTTTGCTCTGATGTAACTTCTATGATCATATCAAATTTAGCTGCAGCTTAGATGTCTTTACTTTCCCTTTCTCCTCTGAAGTAAATTATGAAGCAGCCATAAAATGTCATTTTGTTTGCAAAAGCAGTTTCTAAACTTTGAATGCAAAGGAAGCCTTTGAGTTCTTCCTTTCATTCACAGAAGATATCTGATGTTTTGGTACTGGATAATAATTGCCACTACAAATACAACTGAAGTATGATCTCTATTATGCTTCTCCCTCAGTTCAGTTCGGTTGTTCAGTGAATGTTCAAAAATAGGAAAATTTGGTGAAATTGGATATGATGCAACTTTATTTACAGTGCAGTGGATTAAAGACCCCAAAAGTGTTTCACTGTTGCAGTGTCCATATTGGATTGGTTGACTAATGGTGCACATTTGCCAGCAAAAAACTGTTTGTCTCCTCAGAAGATGTTAAACATTGCTGTTGATAAATTAATGAGACCCTTATTTAGGTCAGTATTTTATTATCTTTGTATGGGTTAAGACTTTCAGTAGAAAAAGTGAAATGACACAGCATGGAAGTTTGCTTTGAAAAGAAATTAAGTACACATTATAATTGAGTAACTTAGATCCGAAATATTCTTGGAGGTATTTTTATTTTAAGATGTAGGTTTCCAAACTGAGGATCTGTGTTGTACCAGTTTGCATCACTGGATGTTCCAGGAAAGAAAATACTGTCTTTTGAGAGGCAAGGAAGAAATAATATGCACCTTGCCTTTTTGGAATTATACACAATAATTTCTGATGTATTTCTCCATTTTCAGAAGAACTGATAATGTCAAGGTACATAAATACCCAGCATGAAGAGAAATGCTTGACATTTCAGAGGAATGTTTTAGGTATCTTTCATTGCTACCCTACAGCTTTAGTACTCTTTTGTAACAGAATGCTTCTGATGGTCAGTTGATAGCAGCTTTCTTTAAAATAAAATGTCAAGGCTGATCAAATGCATTTCTTTAAAGTATGGAGAAGTAAAAGGAAAAAGGCACCAGCTGGCTGCACAGCTTTGACAGTGGTGTATCAGTCATCACAACGGCTTATGCACAATCTCAAGTCACAGTTGCAGAATTTTTTCTCTACTTCTATTTCTTTATGATGGTTCTGGTTGAAATTATAGGAATCTCATTGCAAAGGAAATGCCTTTAAGCCTCATTGCAGGGGGGAATGGGATGTGATGATTTATCAGTGCAAAGCTCAGAGGAGCTTGTTGCTGAGCTGCAGCAGATGCTGGGATAATTGTGGTTTTTTCATTGAGAACTACACAGTTGGGGGACAGTTTATCAGGATATCACACAGCAAAGCACAATCAGGGAAGTCTGTAATTCCATCAGGAGTTGCTCAGAATGTCCCTCAGCACTGGCTTGACTGGACAGTGTTTGAGATTGGAATTCAGATACCAGAGGCTTAAATGGGAGGGCAGAATGCACTGAAGTGGTGTCTTGGGAAGGCTACACAGCACGAGACCAGGGTCTTTTCCACATGAAGAGAAATGTCTTTATATGTGGTGTGTAAAATATCACATCACAAGGAATCTGGAAGTACGGAAGTGAAAAATTCTCCCCCATTTGTGAAATAGTAGTGTAAGGTTTCATGTAAACAATGGGAAGAAGTACACCAGCAGATTAAACCTTGGACATATAAACTATCATCATCCTTACTAGGATAATTTATTACCAGAAGCTAAAGAATCTAACAGCTGGTTAAAATGTATAATGAATGACACCCTATTAGCAGTTGTTGTGAGCTTTTTGTGTTTGCAGTTGTAATTGCCAATTTGTGTCCACAGAAAGTACATTTCAGAGGCTTTCCTGTATGTAAAGTTTGATTAAAAACGTGTACTGATTTCTAGATCTTTCTGAGCCCTCTTGAAATTAAATGGTGGAATATTTAATTTGATTAGTACTACTGCAGGAATAGAAAACCTGATAGATTTCCTATTTCCAGTATGTCCATGTTTGTTCTCTCTGCAGAGTCATACCTGTTGCTCCAGCAGACCTGGTGAAAAACCCTCTGAAGAACATCTGGTATTTTCATAGTTGCATATGACAGGATAAGCATCAGAGGATTTTTTCCTGCTGGTCCAGAACTTGCTTGGATTCTACCTTCTTGTGTCACTTCAAGCAAACTTAAGTTATGAGATGATCAACACTGTCATTCAGGAGATGGATGAAATGACACAGATTTGATCTTAGATCAGTTCAGTTGTATTATTGCCAAATATAAGGTGTTTGAAGAAGGTTTTATTGGTATGCAAATCATAACTTCTGTCCTTCAACTCTCCTGGCTCAGCTGGCTGCCAGATATGCCTTGCCTTCCAAGGCAGCATGTCCTTAGTAAAAAAGACTTGATGAGAAACAGCAATAATTAACTTTTCTTGACACATTTGTTCGTCCACCTTTAAGAAATGAAATGTGAACTGTAGTTATAACCGTCTTTAATACAAATTACATAAACCAGTTCATATTTACTAAAACTAGCAACCAGAATAATTTTCTTACTATTGTAAGTGTGATGGAGATTATTTTATAAAGACCTTTTTAAGCCTCTGTTAAGAGTTTTATTGTGGCTTTTTTTAAAGTAAAAATGAACCTTTGACTTTGAAAATATTAGAATTTTGTTACAGCTAGTTCAGTGTTCACATATCCTGAAATGAGGAACGATTTAAAATGACAGTTTGATCTGGTAATTATAGAATCACAAACTATTCTAAGTTAATTAAGGCAATTTTAGTGAAACTAGGCTGCAGTTGTGAGAGCTAAAACACTTACCTTGACCTTACAGTTAACATTTCAAAACAGTTACTGTAAATAGGAACCTGAAGCTTATGGGTGCTAAATAATAATCTAGATCCAGCCCTGCAATCCAGACTCCGTTTTCATGTGGTGAGGTTGAGGTGAGTTAGGTATTGTGAAACCCTTGGAATTCATGTCTGAATACTGAGCTTCTGTAACTTTCTCTCTGGCTTCAATTCACACACACATTGTGGCTTTCCTTAATATTAGTGGCTTAACCTTATTACTGGCTATTTGCCTCTGTTATTGCAGTAAACAAATTTTGAAATGCAGTATGTTTTTTTTTTTCCTTGATATGTGTACAATACACATTAATGTGTATATATAAATGGATGGCTGTAATTAAAATTACCTTATTTCCACTGTGTCTTTACAACAAGGTTTTGTATTTAATCACAAAAAATTGCTTGGAGGGTTGCTTAGTCCAACTTCCCTGCTCAGGACCTTGTTAAGGCTGGAGATCCTTTGCCTCTCTGGCCCTGTTGTAATGTTTGACTACTAGGATTGCATTTTTCTTCTAATACACAGTTGAAATTTTCTGGGAGGAGCTTGTATCTGTGGCCTTTTGTCCTTTCTCTGCATCTTCAAAAATAACATCTCTGTCTTCTCTTGTACTCTCATGTTTGACAGTTGAGGACAGCAGTGAGATTTTCCTGTTTGGCTTCTCAAGACCCAACACTTCCTTTGGCATCTCCTTGCCTGCCATGGGCTGTGACCTTTCAGTGAGTCTTGGGGCTTCCCACTCAACTGGCTTTCCAAAATCCTTCTTGCTCTGGGGAGCAAGTTTGCCAAAGGCAACTTTTTATCCAAAACGGACAAATGTCTTTGTATCTTAATAAATTAACCTGCCACACAAAATTTCTTAAGCTTTACAATGTCCTTTGTTCATTAGAATACATTTTAAAAATATATATATATACACTACAAAAACCCCATGACTGCTGGCCTCATTTTCATGTTAAATATCAGAGTGGAGGGTTATGTGCATTTGTATTTATCAACTCTGCCACACTGAGCAATCTGAGTTTGCTTAAATAGCATTTTTAAGAAGGTGCTGGGCTGTGACATCCCCTTGGGAGGGATCAGAGCACCAAGGAACAGTCAGATTTTATGGGTGTGTGAGAGGAGCTGGCAAGGAGCTGCCTTTGCAATGGAAGAGGGAACAGGAGGATGCTGCAGGAATGAGGAGCATCTGGAGTGCAGAAATTGGTTTGGGAATATGGCATAAAAATTAGTTGTACTTACAGAAACGAAAGATGGGCTGCAATTACAGTAACAAGCCATTATTACCTCTTAAAAGCAAATGGAAGTTTAGACATAAAGGAAGGAAAAATAACTGTAACCTATGGTTATGTAAAACAAAGAAAAACAAAATAAATAGAGTTTATAGAGTAATTTTAAATCTGGTACAAGTGAATACTTTGCTTCCTCAGCAGAAATCTTCCTTGTGTGCTGCAACACACACCACACACAGCACAGCTTCCAGTACAGCCAGTAAATTTTGATTTATTTTTGTATGCATTATAATGCATAATTAAACAGGTAAGGCTAATTACACTTTGATTAGTCAATGCACATAGAAAAATTTAAGGTTCCTCTATATTTTCATCTGTGCTGAAGTGGTTGTAAGCATTAAAAAAAAAAAAATAAAAAAAAAATTGTCCAGAAGATTTTTTTAAAAAAATCAAAATATCTATGGAACAGAGTAGGACAGGAAAAGAGGTGGAAATTTTATATTAATTATTTCCAATCAAAAAAATCAGAGCCTCTCTAAAACATCCAGTACCTTACAAAAAAAATCTTATTTGGGCAGAAGTGAATTTTTCACTGAAAACTCTTTCTTCTGGAAAACTTTTTATCTCCTGCTTCTCTCCCTGTGTGCCAGGCCTCCCTTCTTCTGCCAGTAGGAACATTCCTGTCCTTTGGGAACACCTCCTCACGCAGCTGTTCATAAAATAGCATAGTCAAATAATTCTTATATAAAAATAATTCTTATATAAATAATTCCTTATGCTGGGAGATGCTTTGCATAGCACAGAAAAATTTCAGTAACTGCTGGAGTTGTCCTGGTCCTTTCCCAATGAATGTTAAATTAATATTTATAACTTTGTGTCTGCAATATGACAAACATTTTACAAACTCTGTCTAAAATGCTGTTTCCATAATAATACTGTCCCTGATTTCTCCCTGCGTGTGATTTTTTTTTTTCTAACATGTCATGAATAAAATCCAGCATTTCATGTTTCCTACAAAATGATCAGTGCCAGGGTACTGCTGGTGGAGACTGGATATTCAAGTAGGAGTAAGGATTGGGAAAGAACTGTATTAATGGACTATTACTTTTAATCATCCCTTTGAATTAGGGTGTGTTCCCCAGAGTTGAAATAAAAAAATCCCATTAATTTCTGTTTAATAATGGGAAATATTATTTCACATGTCTGTTCCCATTTCAGTGCTCTTGGCAAACATGTTCTTAATCCAAATGATGGAATCATTTGGCAACTACTTGGATTTAATAGGAGCAGTCTGGGTTTTTTTTTTCACACTATTCTAAAAGCAACTCTTGAACTCTGAGCTTGGCTCTAGACTCGATTTTCATAACTGTAAATCAGGATTAACTTCCCAAAGGCTGATGGAACCAGTGTAAATACGATTACAGGCAGCCTGCAGGGCATTTCCACAGAGCCACAGAGAGGGTGTTTATTTGCTCCAGGTGCAGATTTACCAGGGATGTCCTCTAAAGAGTTCCCATTTTCCCATGGTGACAGGAATGGGGTGAGGGGGAGCAGAAGGTGGGCTCTGGGTACCACACAGCTCCTGGGTGTCTGCCAGGAGGGAGGCTGAGGGAAAAATGGGCATTGCAGCAGTGAGCTGGGATCTGGTGCATCCAAACAGGGTTGTTGGAGCATCCTTGGTGTGTGGGGTTTGACCAGAAAACACAGGAATACGTGAACCTTGTGGTTTTTTACTGTGTGATGGAAGCAGGGGTAAGAAAAGCAGGAATGTGGATGTTACCCACAATCACCAGGACCCAGGGCTGTCCCTGCACAGCTGCTTTTCTTCTGGACAGCCCCCACTTCTCCACCCTGCTGAGGTCCCCCTGACCAGCAGCACAACCATCACCCAGCACTTCTTTTAGGGTTTATTCCTGACTGCAAAGTGACCTGTGGACAGAAAAACATAAACTGCTCTGCCCCTGGTTGCAGATCCCAAAGACCAAAGTGTTTTGTCTTTTTTCCACAGTGGAAATTTTCAGTGACCTGAGCAGAGGTGGCCACGAGTACGGGGTTTGCTCTGGGCACTCGGCTGAGCTGTTTGGAGAGCAGAGGAGCACAGCTAATGCACCCCCTTGAAGGTAAAATGCAGTTCCCCAAAGTGCAGGAGGAGTGGTGCTTTCAGCTCCTAAAATGCAGGACTCTCAGGCTTCCTTTACATATGGAGGCTGTAAAAGAAACATCTTTTATATGTCTATAAACCAGCTTTAGATCTATCTAAATCCAGGCTATCAAAAGGGAAGTGTGTCTATTTAAGAGATGGTTATAGAGAACAAAGGCCTGAGAGAACAAATGGAGCAGATGACCTTGTAGCTCACTTTCTGCCAAAAAACAGTTCAAATAACTTTTAATGTAATCTTACTAAAATGGCCTCATGAATACAACCAAAGCAATGTTTGTGCTTGAGACTGCTCTGAGTGCATGAGAAGGACAGGATTTATTCAGAACCCAGAAGCTCACTTGAGTGTAGTGAGAAGCCAGGTTTTCCTGAGCTGAGGTTTGTTATGGGTGTTGTGAAATATTTTGGTTATTCATCTGTTGGTAACTTAGGGGTTCATGGTGTTCTCTGCATTGCTGGGTGTTCAGGTACGATTGTTCTGTCCCCACTTTGCTGTCTGCACAAAGGACTCAGAAAATACAGCTCTGAATATCTAAATAATCAGGTCTAGCTCTAGCAGCCACCAGAGAGAGTCTAAAGTGGTGTGGAAGGGGAGCTGGAGAAGGGATCTGAAGGAGAAGCAGGTTTCTGATTTCTGCCCATATAAAATAGCCAGGAAAAGGGGAGCTCAGCTTTGTCATGGCAAATACTTTCTCTGGTTTTCCCCCCTTCTCAGTAGAATCTCCATGTGGAAAAAATACTGACAGTGAAAAACAGGAGTTGTAGCTGGAGAGCAGAAATAAATCACCTCTGAAAGTCCTTCATGAAGATGGCAGTATTTCTGCAAAGTATCTTGGCTAAATGATTTGTTAAGGGACCATTCTTTCTCAGAGCTGAGCTCTGTCAATAAACAAGATTAGTTTTGCTTTTCAGGCCATCCTTTGTTCAAATATATGTGATTTCAGCCACTGGAAGCCCCTTTGTTAATAGGGTCATGATACAAGTTTATTGATTGAGATGTGGTGACATCTGATATTGAATGATTTGTGAAATCCTCTCAGGAGATATCACACTACACAGTGGTGCCTTACAACAGCATCAAAAGAGCTATTAACAGATGCTACAAACTGAGTTAGAATTAACAATTAGGTATAAATGCATATGTATAATTATGTATTTATGTAATGAGGCACCTGTTTGAAAAGTCCTGAGGACAGAAGAGGGATTCCTCCTGGAACTTCAGTGCTTGATTTGCAGAGTCTGAGATCCTCTGCACTGTAACCTCTGAAGCAGGAGGCACAGGGAACTGCCCAAGCAGGAGCTGCAATAAACTGGGTTTGGCTCCCAAGTCCTCCTGAGCTCGGCCATCAGTGAAACTGCTCTGTGCACCCAGGTGTTTTATTACTCACAAACTGGAAGAGGAAATAAGTGCCAAACACATGTGCAGGCTGTGGGCAGCTTCTTCAGCCTTTTGTCCTTTGTTTTGGTAATAGATCCTAAGCTTAACCCTTCCTCCAGGAGAAATTGTACAAGTTATAAACCCTCAAGTATGTATTGAACTGAAATACACTTGACTTTTATTAATGTGTCCCCAATATATTTTTAATACGACCTTGACTTGTTGCCTTTCTTTTAAATGGCATTAAGTTCAAAATGCCAGCTGCAGCAGACTACAGACACAGAAGAATCCAGGCAGGGGTGTGAATGCATCTCAAAGTGTTCAAAGGGTTTGTGTCAGGCTCCTTTTACTCTAATGTGAGCTTAGTAATTAATTCTGCAATCACTCAGGTGGTGTTTTGACATATCTGGAGTAGTAACATCACCCTGCAAGCCTCTTTCCCTATTTTGATCACTCAGCTGCTTGCTTGGATGTCTGTGCAGCGTGAGGCTGCCTGGGGACCTGGACTTGGGTTAAAAGTAGTTCAGAAGAAAGAAAAAAGGCTTTTTCCTCTGGATCAGCTCCTGGTTCTGGTGAACCAAACAACTTCTCAGCCACAGCAGAGGTGACAACTTGGGGATGTGGAACTTAGGCCAACAGCACTGCAGGAAGCAAGTGCTTGTCAAGCTGTTCCTTGGGAGGTTTATGTGGCAACAAATATCTTTTTATTATTTGAGTTAAAAGGGTGTAACAGACTTATTGTCTGCAACCACAGCTCCTCAGGTGTCATTTGGTATCTGGCAGACTGGACTACTTAATAAATATTAACAATTCTTTAATCTGAGTCATTGTTAATGTATAAAGGATTTTTGTTCACTGATGTCCATGGGAGGTTTTTAGCCAGGCAGTCTCCTGTTGACTACAAGCAAATATCCTTAGCAAAAAAAATCTCAAGTACCATTAGTACAGGAGTAAAAACCCTTTGGACAGTCTGTGTGTGCTGAACTCACAGTGTGCTTAATTTGCTGATAAATGTACCTTGTTAGGTATCATTTTCTCCAGATATTCATTGACCTTTCCTTGGATTTCAGCAGGAGGCTCATAGTTAAAAGTACAAGATAATTAATGGCCTAGCTAATCATATCAGATGTTGTACTGGAAGCACTGAGGGTAAAGCAGTTAGGAATTAGTTCAGTAGAAATTAATAAAATCTGTAGGCTAAAAACACTGTGGGCTTGAGCTTGGCCAGCAGTGAAACTTTGGAAGTTTGTAGGAAGGACAAACTCCTTTAAAACAGGCATAAATTCAATGAGCTTAACACTGGTGCTTTATCAGCCACAGCCCTAAGGAAAGCTTGAGGCATCCTGTGCTTTCAGTGCCAAGGGTCAGGATTTTGATGTTCACCAAATTTATTTAAAATTGAAGCTGATGATAGAATGGGAATGGAAAGGAAAAGTTTGTACAACCTTAAATTGCTGGAAATTGTTAAGAAAAACTGTGTGAAGAATGGATTTGGGAGCAAAGCAGAAAAACCTTTTGTGGAGAACTTGTCTGTGCTGGCAGCTGGGCCCTGCTGTGGTTGAGCAGCTCCTGGTTTTTACCTGGCACAGTACCTGGGATCCTCCTGATGGGAGCATGACCAGGATTCTGCTGGGCTGCTTATCCCAGGAATGAGGAAAATGCCTCATTCCAAAAGCCCTTCCTTGCCTGGTGCATCGAGTCCAGCTCATTTCTGCTGGTCAGAATCAGCTGTGAGAGCTCAGAGCCTGCAGGAGGGCTCAGCTCTGCCCACACAATGTGGGCATTGTGCATTGTGGGCATTTCTGCAGAGAAAATAAGATTTTCCTTTTACTGCTCTTCATTCCGGGTGTCCCTGTATGTAACTCTCCAATGCACCCTTGCAGCACCTTGCTAATCAATGCAAGATTCTGCAATGAATGCAAATAGCAGAGTGGTAACCTGCAAGACATCAGTGCTAGAAGAAAATAATCCTGCTTGGAAAGGGCAATGTAAAAATATTCACTGCCTGGCTTAAACTTGATTTGATCATTACAAACCTACAGTTTACAGCCCAAATTAGGCTTTTAAGTTGAAAACATTATTTCTACCTTAACTTATGGATGTGGAAGCAGAGAAAACACCAGAAGTAGGGACAGATGGCTTGTCATCTTTGTAAGCCGTTCCCTTAGGAATGCACCAACTTTCAAATACAGTGAATTTGTGCCACTAGCCAAGATTTGTTACAGAGCTCCACAATCCTTTGACTCCAGAGCTGTGCAGAAAAGTCCATGTGAAGAGCACAGCTCTCTGGATGAATTGTGTTTTTAGGTACCTGAGAGAGTGACCAGAAAATCCCATTGGAATATAGAGGGAAAAGAGTTTGCTCTAGATGCCTGATAAACCACAGAAGTCATGCACAGCACGTCTGAGGATGAA